CTCGTTTTGATTACTTGAGAGAACCTGATATCCAGATTTCGCTGAGTATCTGCCATTGTCCTTATTGTGCCTCCACTCCCAGCGATCTTGACTTCCACAAGTTCGTTGGTTTGCCTCTAATAGACCCCACAGCTCCGATAATGATTCTTCCTCCCAAGAAAAGATGGTTCTTCTCCACTGTAGTGACCAGGTCCATCTCCCGTTGTTCCAGTGACCCATTTGGGAAATGCTCTTGGTTTTGCTTGTAGAATTAAGAAATAACCTTGGAAATTTATCAGCCAACGGCCTATCCCCTATCCACACATCCTTCCAGAAGCTAACCGATTTGCCCTCCCCTAATTTCAGTCTATATCCACCCGACAGCCATCCAATCTTTCTATGATATAAATGATCTAGATGACAGACGTCCCTCCACCATAAGGACCTCCTGTTGCACCTTCTTTCAATCCAGTTTAGCCAATTTCCTGCTTCATATCCATATTTTTCTCTAATGACCTTGTACAAAAAACCGTCCTCACCCCCTGCCAACCTACTCCACCACTTTCCTAACAGTGCTAAATTAAATATTCTAAGGTCCTTTACACCTAAACCACCCTCCATTTTGTTTTTACACACATTCTCCCAACAAACCCAATTAATCTTCTTGCAACCATCCCTAGCCCCCCAAAGAAAACTTCTACGAATTTTATCAAGTAAGAGAATCAAACCTTTAGGTAACAGGCGGACAGACATGATGAACACTGGGAGGCTAGACAGCACGGAATTAAGGAGTGTGATCCTTCCGCCAAGAGATATGAACCTGGTTTTCCAACTAGCAAGTTTCTTCTTAAAAGCATCAATGATGGGTTTCCACATCGCAATACTTCTATATCTACCCCCAATCGGCATCCCCAAATATTTACAAGGCAAAACTCCTTGCTTACAATTCATAATAATAGACATCTTCTTCATCCAGTCATTTGAGACATTTATGCCCATGAGTAAGCTTTTTCCGAAGTTAATCTTCAGCCCCGATACAATCTCGAAAATCCTCATAATACATTTTACAGCCCAAATGTTTTCTTCTGAGGCTTTCCCAAATACAATTGTATCATCCGCGAACTGTAGATGGGTTACTTTCAATCCACTTTGCCCAACTGTAATTCCCTCAAACAGTCCATGTGAAATTACAGATTTGATTATGCCATTAAGACCCTCCGCAACAATTAGGAATAGGAAAGGTGATAACGGGTCTCCTTGTCTGAGCCCTCTTTGCATCCCAAACTGTCTGGTGGTGCTCCCGTTGAGTAACACCAATACCTCCGCTGTCTTCAAACATTCAGTCATCCACCCTCTCCATTTTTGGCCAAATCCCAATCTCAGCATCATGTAGTCCAAGAAGGCCCAGCATACTTTATCATACGCCTTTTTGAAGTCAAGCTTAATTACAAATCCTGCTTGTTTCCTTTTTTGCGCCTCATCAGTAGTCTCGTTCGCGATGACCACACTATCTGCAAGTTGCCTTCCTCCGATGAAGGCCATCTGATTTTCCCCGATCACTCCATTTAAAACCGAAGACAGTCTATGTGCTAGGAGTTTGGCAATTATTTTGTACATGACACCAACTAGTGAAATGGGTCTAAATTCTTCTATTTTCTGTGGGTTGTCGACTTTGGGTATTAATACAATGAAGCTGCTATTAACCCATTTGACCAATTTTCCATGCTTTTGGAAATCGTCAACAAACCCCAGTATATCTCCTTTGATTACCTCCCACATTTCCTTGATGAATTTAAAGTTAAACCCATCAGGCCCCGGCGCCTTTGAGCTCTCACAACTCCACACTGCTTGTTTAACCTCTTCCTCCTTGAATGGTGCTTCCAGCATTGACCCCTCCTCTGCTGAAATCTTCTTAAATTCAATTCCATCAAGCACTGGGTGATTCCACTCTTCCTCTTGGAACAAGCTTTCGAAGTGCTTTGCCACACCTTCTTTAATTTCCTTTACTTCCTCCAGCAGCTCCCTGCCAACCATAATACTCACTATGTCATTTCTCCTACGTCGCCCTTTCACACATTTGTGGAAAAATTTTGTGTTAGCGTCCCCTTCACACAGCCAGGTCTTTCTAGCTTTCTGTCGCCATATGCTTTCCTTGATCCTCTAGTTGTTCCATAATTCCAGAAAGTTTATCCTTCTCAGCTCAATGTCTTCTGTAGGCAGTGGCATCACTTTGCCTTTTTTGTCAATGGAAGCAATAGAGTCGATGCTCCTTTGTATGCTCTTGTCAATCTCTGACACCATGTTCCTACTCCAAGCTTTCAACACCTTCTTTGTTTCTTTCAATTTCTCCTTAAGCCGAAACCCATTCCACCCACAAACCATCTTCGATCTCCATACTTCACTCACCATCTTTTTAAACTAAGGGACTTCCAGCCATGCATCGAAGAACCGAAAGGGTTTTGGCCCCCAATTAATGATCTGGTTTTTTAACACAATAGGGCAGTGATCAGAGTATGAGCAGTTCAAGCCCCATTGTTTGACATCCTCCCAGTTCAAGCACCATTCTTCTGAGAGCAAGAATCTTTCCAATCTACTCATCGTTGCTCCGTTGGTTTGGTACCAAGTAAACTTCCTACCAATTAATGGAAGGTCAACTAAGCCACAATCACTAATAAACTTATCAAACTCTGGCATATCCCTTCTAATACTCCCTCCTCGCCATTCCTGTTCATTCCTCACTGCATTGAAGTCTCCCATTAAACACCAATTCCCCCCATTCTCAAGAATAAGAATTTTGAGAGTCGCCCATAGAGCTCTTTTTCCAGCCAAATCACACAGGAAATATATATTTATTATATACACGGGAGTGTTAGCCACCCCCCAAAACTCGAAAATCCCAATGAAATTATCCCCTTCTATAATTCTATCCTTCTTCAATAACTCAGGATTCCAAATACAAATCAATCCCCCAGCCATACCTTTAGAGGGTTGAGCAACCCATTCAAAGCTATCTGATCCCCATAGAGCTCTGCATAGTTGAGCATCAACGACCTCTACCTTGGATTCTTGTACTGATAAAAAATCTACCTTCTCCCGAGCAACAAGTTCTCTCACCCCTCTTTTCTTGCCTTCCTTTCCTACTACTCTGATATTAGTAGACATGAAAATCATTATAAATCTTCATTCCTATTTCCCCCACTTTCAGCCTCTCTATTTGCTGATCTTCGAAACACCTCCCTGTCCCGCTCCTCCATAACTTCAAGCCTTCGCAAGACCTCATCCTCGTTATCTCTTTTGGCAACACCAATTCTCTTTGCAAACCCCTAGATCTGCTCTCTCGTGCCACTTTTAGCCTCAGCTCGCAAGCATCGATTTCTATTTTCAATGCCGCTATCCGTGATTGACTCCTCTGCTTCCTGGTATTGTGGATCTGGGCTGAAATTCAGCATCCTCTCCTCTATTTCTCGAGCTTTCCTTGAATTGCTCTGTTCCGTCTCTATCCTTGGACACTCCCCTCTTTTGGATTTTTGATACACATACGAGCATGATCTCATCCTCTTTCTCCTCTGCTTTTTAGACTTCCTCTCTGTTCTACCCATCCAAGCTTTCACTTGCCCTGTTTCACTTTCAAACCCTTGCCAAAAGGATTGTTCTTCACCATGAGTTTCCACTCCGACAAAGCTTCCGTCACCTCTCTGTACCTCCTCTTCATTGTCACTCTTATCTTCTGTTTTTTCTCTCTCCGCTCCAGCACCTTTGACTTTACTAACTTCCTTCTTTTTTGTTGCTCCCGGTCCTATGTTTGTGGCCCATTTTGCTCCCCCCCCCCAGGCATGCTTTAAGGTCCAGCCCAAGACTCATTTCGCCCCTCTGCTTTTTGATTGGGTTTGGATTGTTTGGCCCACTTACTTCACCCTTCCCTCTATTTGAATCATGTTCCTGGCACTGCATTAAATGCTCACACAGGCTATCGGACACAGCCTACCTCCTCCGTCGTTTCCTCTTGGGAGTTGATAAGAAGTCCTAGAGTATTCCCGATGTCTGCAACAATACACTCATTATCTGATTGCTTGATGGATTCTTCAGCACTCCTTGAGCTATTTTCCACATTTTCAAATTCAAAAAACTCAGCCGTTGCCTTCTTCCCTTGGCTGTCAAGTCAATTTTCTTCTCGTTCTCGCCCATACTCAGATTCCACGTCAGCTACCTTTTCGTTCTTGCTCTCCACGTTGGATCTTCTATCCTTGTCATCATCTTCAACCTTTCCATCTACACATTTGGAGGATTGCCTGAAGCAACCACCATCTTAAACAGACTCTTCAGCGGCGCCCTCCATATCACTGTATAAGGACCACCTTTCTGAGTTACTGTCATCTACATCCATTAACTCTCTGAAAACATGGTCCGAGGTCATGGAGAAGATGCCATTCGTTGCCTCCTCCTCCATTACTTTGATAAAAAATGGCACGTCATTCACTGTTATATTCATTGATTTTGAGATGAACTCCATAACCGGGGTGGATATCAGAATTCTCCCAATATCCAATCTTTTCTTTTTGCTAGTGCTGTCATCTGTGGTGATGAAATTCCCGCACACGTTCCCGATTGTGGCAAAGAATCAGGTCCCCAAGCATGGGCTAGGACGCCTTGGCATCTTAGCCATACAAACCTTTCTCTTGCAACCAGTTTTGGGTTCCATGGTTTTATATCCTCAAACCATTGCCCCAGCCATTCCAGTGCTAATTCTACCAAATCCTTCATCTCCTCCTTATCCCCCCCTTCAAGTAAGACAAGTCTTCCCCCTATTGGTCTTACCTTACAAGAGAAATATCCTTCCATGAAAAATTTCTCCTGTAGTGTAGGAATGAGCTCCATTGAATAAGTAGTTATGACATAACAGCCTTCGAGCCATGTGAGTTCTTCCTCCTTCACCCTAAACTCCAGGCCAACATTGGCTCGTTCCTTATTCCTCATTTTCCATGCTTGTGTTGGCCATTTTTGCGTGTCTCTATCCCGCTGCTTATGTTGATCAACTCCTCCAACTGTTGCCGACTTTGTCTGTTTCATTGGCTCTTCCTCCATTCTATACTTTCCTTTTACAACTTCCGCATACGATCTCCATGGTTTGACATGAGCATTCTCAACTGGCTTTCTGTCTTCTCTGCTCCTCTCCTTTGTTTCTCTGAATCTTGGTCTATTAACCCACAGCTTGGTCATCCCTACTCTAATTTGGTCCAGTTGGCGTTCCAGAACCCCCTCATTCTTCACATCTAAGAATCTTACAAACCCGAATCTCTTCCCTAATTTGGATTTCCTCGGTGGGCTATATATATCCAGGACTCTGCCATGTTTGCAGAAGGTCTCCCACATGCTTCCATAACTCCATTCATCAGGGAAGTTTGTAAAGAAGAACACAGTAGCCTGGTTATACACCCTTTTGTCATACCCCCATGCCTCCTGTCTTTTTTCTGATCTTCTACGTGAGTGCCCATTACCTCGCTCCTGTCGATTCCCTCTCTGGTTTCTAGAAAGCTCCCAATTCCGTGCCGTCCGCCCTTCGCGTGCTCTGGATCTGTCCGCTCTCCCTCTCTCTCTACCTCTCATTCTCTCCCTTATCATAAATAATCAGTTTGTTTCCCAGATATAATTCTTCTAGTCTCGACAAACTTGCTAAGACATGGGGTTGAATCACTTTGAGTTTGGCACAATCTATAAATTTTAATTTTTTATTTTATATTATAATATTTTAAATTTTTTATTTTTATAAATTAAAAAAATAACTCTTATTTAATGTCCTGTTAATCGATTATTAGTTCTGTCAACTGATTATTAACATTTTGTTATAGAAAACATAAAATTTAAATTTAATTTTATTTATTAATTCTATTAATGAAATATTAACAATCAATTAACAAAGTTAACAAGAAATTAACATAGTTAACAGTCAACTAATATAACTAATAATCAACGAACAAAACTAAAAAAAATGTTATAACTTGACGTTAAATAAAAGTTATTTTTTTCAATTCATATAGGTGAAAGAGTAAAAATATTATAATATAAAGTGATGGATTAAAAC